ACAAGTTCATCGATTTTTTGTCTATTTTCGTCCTTGGATTTGCGTTTAATACCTTTATTACAATTCGAAGAATAATCAGCTAAAAGCTCTTCACTTCGACGAAGAATATTGGCAGCACTACTTTTTGGTTTTTTATAATTATCAGCCAGTTCGCGAACTGATAAACCATGGGCATTTTGATTATCCTTGATGAAAGCAATTTTTTCTTCCAAAGTTAATGCTTTTCGATGAGACATTATGTTCCTTTTTCTTTCTCGACAGTTAGAAATAAGACAAATATATCAAATGAGACAAATAAACCAATGCCACTATTGTTTTCTTTTTACTTTTCATCGATTCAACCAGACGGATGATTCTTTTTTTCTGCCTTTTATGTGTCATAAAAAAATATCAATGATATAGTATGTGTTTGATCGTATTTATCAAAGAATATTTTACTAATTTAAATCAATGTCCACTATAGAGAGGTATTTCACATGAAAGGGACTGAAAAGAAAGTGTCCACTATGCGAGGTGTCCACTTAAGAAAGTATCCACTATGTAGAGGTTTAAATCCAGCAAAAAATGCTCCGTCGGACCTCAAAGTGTCCACTATAAGGAGGTGTCCGCTATAGAGGAGTGTCCACTAAGGGAGGTTTTACTGTATATACATATATATGAATAAACCAATAAGAATCAAGTTTCATAAAACAATAAGTATAAATTGAACTTTAAAAAGGATGACACGATTCTGTTCAGTGAATGATGTCAGGATAGAAAAATCTACTTATTTGATACATAATGCACATTCATAATATCGATAAGAAGTTGACTGCATACATTTTTAACAAGTTATCTCTATCTGAAAATATTCCAGCTGCAACATGAATCGAGTAATTCACTTCGATTTTTTTTCTTTCTAACATAATCTGTTTCTGACTATGAGTGAAAACCTTTAGCTATACTAAAATTTTAAATTATATAGCTTAGAATAATAATTTACTGATTCACTGAGTCCTATTATCATATATCTATCATGAAAACTTCAGCTTTTTAAAACTTCTGGATAACCGTGTCCAGCAAATTTGGTTTGACCTCATCAGATCTTATTATTCTTAGCATTGTCACTTATTATACAGTAGTATGGTTTTAATTTACTACAAATCATAGTCGTTTTATAGTACACAAGATATATTTCGTTCTTTCTTTCTTTTTTTTTAACGTTCATGTATTATCGAACAACTATCGTATTTATCATGCGAATTAGGAATTACATGTGTTTTCAGGGTAATATTCTTCGAAATTTCCTTTAATCTGTTTCCTCACAAACTCTTCCTAAGGAAATTTTTATATAGACGAGTCCAGCTCACCGCGAAACTATTTCCTTAACATTTACAGTCATAGTTTCGTATCTTTCATATATAGAATATTAAACTTGAGTAATCTATTTCTTCAAATAAATGCCATGGATAATGCTCAAGCACTAAGATCCAATAAATTAATAAGTATAGATCTGATCTTAGAACCATGTTACTTATATAATTCGATTATAATAGTGGAACCCAAACCCAAACCCAAACTCAAACTCATTCCACCCAACCCAAACCCAAAGCCAAACTCAAACTCATTTCACCAAACCCAAACCCAAATTCAAACTCATTTCACCAAACCCAAACTCCCAAACAGTTTGAGTTTGAGTTTGAGTTTGGCGCATGCCTAATTTTACCTACATTTGCTCAGGCCAGCGCCAATATATCTGTCACGTGAACGGTATGATGAAGAGAAAGCTCAGCGGTAGCATTATTCGATAAATAAATATTACAGTATATATCAGTTTGAAATTAAAGATATAAATGATCTTGTTTTTACATGTCTCTGTTTATTTTTAAAGAGCAACGTATTGTTGATTGATAAATGTGGAGTAATATGTGAAAACTACGAATTTTGAACAAATTCTTTATTTATATGATCTCACTCGAAAGAAATATAGATTCATATACAAGCAAATTCAAGGCTGTGAGAAAGCAAGTATAGTGTGATTCCCATAGTATTCGATCCAAGTTATGTAAGGCAACACAGTCATATATTTTCACAGCTAAATATCATATAAAATGCCGATTGCAGTTATTAGTCTATGATAATATCATCTGACTATTCATAAAAAGCTTGCTCGCGATCGAAGCATCTATTTTAAATTTAGTGCAATAGGCATCCTATATCCATGTTCAATTAACTGTATTAACTTCTCTATCACAACTCATGATTTATGATTGTTTTCGCTTTCACTGCGAATAAGCAAATGATAATCGATCTCTATAACAGAAAAATTCCCAATGCCTTTTCTTAGATATCATACAAAAATGGGCAAGGTTATCAAGTCCCAAAAGCGACCATGATGATTTTTTTCTTCGATTATTTGATTTGCATCTTCATCAGTAAAGGATAATTTTGTAATCTAAAATGCTCTTTAGCGATATTATTCGGTTCCCCCTATGGTAATAAACGATGAGAAAAATCAATAACAGTTTGCAAATATGTCAAGAGTACTCTTTCTCACATGTTTCATTATCTTGTGTGTTATTTGGCATTTAAAAACAAGGCAAATTGAATTTAATAATGAAATCAACTATGTGTTGAAATATACTCGGCTCATACCTTCCATCTTTTCTAATGACTATTGTAATTTATTCATACTTGGTTATCAATGATTGAAAATTATTTCTAGTTATTTATAAGTTACACATGTCTTTTTGCTATTTTTTTCTAATTATTCTTATTCATCCAAGCACTTCTTCTGTAGTTCAGTCTCTAAAAAGAAAGCTATCCTGTATTTTGCAAGTTATACGATTCTCCGTTCGGGCTAAATAAACTTTATCGTCATTTTAGTCTAAGTTAAAGAAAGCCTTATTTAATTACGCCATATGAGGCAAATTTTGTAAGACGTACATTTCTCATATACTATTTGATCCAACACTTTTAGATTCAAATATAATTTCATATGACTCTAAAGCGAACACACTAGACTTCAAGGAACATCGATATGAAACTGAAGCCAACGCTGCACAATTGCAAACCACCAGGATAGTTAAATTCGACAAGCATAATTGTGTTGTTATCAATTTTATGAGAAATCATCGTCGATTATACATTAGTTGAGCGACACGATTAGTTACTTCTAAAATTCGATCTCTCAATAACTCGCTATTTTCAGTCACATTTTCAAGCTGTTTAAGAAAGATAATGATCATATAGATGAAAGTTCTTCACATTTGACATTTTTTAATGAATTCAATTGAGCTCGTCTCGTTTTAAACACAGCGCGAAAATTGTCTTGCAAAGCATAGATCATTAATTAGTATCACATAAGATTAGGGGTATAACACTTTCCAGATACTGTGAACTGGTCGAGTGTTGAAACATTTTGATCTGGTATAAAGTAAAATAAAAATGTGACTCAAATCTCGTTATATTGGTAGTAAAATATTTTAAGTTCCATTTGATTTTTCTCTGCCTTTTTGGGTGTAGGTGTCTTTGTCGTTATACACTCTCGTGACAGAAAAAAAGACGCCCACGCCCTAATTTCATATTTCATCTCTGCTTATTGGTGATTTTGTCAAATTCGGTAATAATAATTCTGAATCCTGAAAGAAAGAATCTAAAAATCAATAAATGGTTGCTCGCACATAGCTAATGTCTTTTTCTAGACACACACTATAACGATAAATATTGGACCCTGGTTGGGTTGATATATTAAGATAAACTGGATAGAGGTGGAGTAGCTTACTGCCACTCTTGGCATTGATGTTTATTTGCTTCTTCACATATCCAGAATGTAACAACTTCATGCATAACACGTATATATAGGAGAGAGAGAGAGAGAGAGAGATATTATAACAATGGAAAGAGAAAAGAAGGAGGAGGAAGGAGAATCATCCAAGCTTACCATCAATATCGGCACATCCACTCACACCCACCCTCTGAATACTAGCGATTTCAACCTTTCAAGATCTACACCACTTTCATAAGTACATACAGTACGAGATTGCTTTTACCAATATGTGTGTTCTTATCTAAGTAGATAGTGTTCGATGATAATTAGGATTCACTAGTACCAGAGAGTTAGACGTTGGCATAGTGTCCGAAGATGCCTCAACAATTTCTGAAAGATCATTTACTTGATTTCTATGTGTTGCTGTCGTTAAGTTTTGCAGAGAAATATTCTCATTGTTTAATGTAGCGCTTCGAATCGTTGTTTTTCGGTATTTTTCTGTCGTCGTTACTTGCTCTCCGGTGGTAATAGTATGATGTCGTTTTGGATTATGCTCATTGCCAAGATTCGATATTGTGCCTAATCTTTCTAGACGTGTCGAGTATCCGCTTGCCACTGTCACTGTCTTTTGGATGGAAATATCGCGGACGGCACGAAACTCACCGCAATTATTTAAATGTTCATTTTCTAATCGAAAAAAATTCCAAATAAACCGCCGAAATATTTCAATGATGCCAAAACTAAATCCAACGATATCAGCATATTCGGCCGCAGATGTATCAAAATAGAGAAATATATTGATAATCCAAATGTATCGAAAGGCAATATTTTCGATAATAGCCACATAATAGTATGCTTTCGACGAATAGATGATTTGTTCACGTAAATATTTATTTTCACTTGCATTTTTATCAAATAAGCCATAATCCATTTTGAAATCCCAGATGAGCTTATAGGTTGAGCTGATCAACGATGAAATAAACCATAGATACAGAAATGGATTTGCTGCTCTTCGGCTTTGATATTCGACAATGGCTGCTCGACGAAGAGCATTCGTGGCGGCAACCAAAACAGTGCTCGCATATTTGCCAGCATTAGCCAAGTGGGGGAACTTTGCTTTCGTATCACGATACCGTCGTATACATTGTGCAAAACGAAACCAAGATGGAAGTAGAATGAAAATAGTTTGAAGAAGAAACTGTGACCAATCAGAACAGAACACGCCATGCTTCTCCGTTGGTCGAGTCCAGTCTACATCATTCATGTAAAAGCAAATGAAATATTGAAGATCGAAAAAGACCAAGTCAAGTGAAATGAGCTGGTCCCCGAGCCAAAATCCTGTAAAATCTACATGAAAGTATGGTGATAGGAAAACTCGGCCAAGATTCTTTAAAAACCACAGTCGTGATTGATAGTAGAATATTTGAATTGGATTTATTAATAAAAGAATTAGTAAGATAACAAACGCTAATGGCTGTGCGAATGGTCGAACATCGTAATAGGACGATATGATAAAGGCAATAAAGCTGAGAAACCATAAGACCATGAGAAATGTGCCTATTTCAAGTAATCGTTGATAGGTGAGGTGATTACGCGGGTCAATTTCGAAAATGAGAACATGATTGACACCCGAATGCGACCAACCATAAATATTTATGCCAACGAAAATTATATGAAGAATGACAAGAAATGAAGAGCGATAGAGATGTAGTGCTGGTCGCCAAGCAAGTAATTTGCCTGATTGACTTTTCTGTAAAGTGTTACTAAGAATAAATACCATCGGAATGAGAAGACATAGAATGCCTGAAAAGAGAAGTCATATCTAGTTCTCGAACATTACGATTTGTTAGCGTTAGTGATGTAACTTACAAACGCTAAACGAAGATTAAGATGTTCTTCTAGTCTAACTGGTTAGGGCATCTGCCCGGATAGCGGAAGGTGTGGGTTCGAGTCCCACGAAGTTCACTTTTTCTTCGTTCTGTCACATAACATCAGTGACACTGATTGTCTCTTTTGCTCTTAATATATCTCTCTTTCATTCCTTTTATATCATTTTCATTCTATATATATTAGAGCTAACACGACTGAATCATAAATACTAAACGTCCCGATAGTTCCATTACAATTTTTTGTAACTCTGGTCTTGAAATCCAGCTAAATAAGTTTACTCAAAGCTCGATATGCATTTAGCGAGAGAACATGAATGTATTTGTATTCTTTGGAGTTTAATTGGAAGAAATTGAATTGATGATTATTTAATCTCTTCAGGTACGACACTTAGCAACCATATCTATTGACAAAAGGATTGTTTTTTTTGACATTTTTGATAGTCTTTCTTGAAAAATTATAGTCTATATTACAATTAAAGAAGTGTACTAAAAAGATAAGTGTAGCATCTTGAAATTCAAAATGACTGTAAGCGACGTTCCTCTGTGAGCGGAAATATAGACTTGAAAAATTATGCTTGTTTTAGATATTAAGATAATTCCAATGATTCCCTGTATGAAACTAATCGATTATATATAAGTAAGCTTTGTTTTTCAATACTAATGATTGCCTAATATCGAGTACTCAGCCGATGTATATTGTTTCACTCAAATTTCTTGAACAGTTTTCAAGCACATGTTTTGAAACAACGATCAATGTCTAAGACTAAAATCCAAACATCGGTTGCAAAACTACGGACAAGTTCACTTTAGGTGATCTAGTCATTAACTGACATATAGAGTCTTGTATAAACGAAAGGTTCTCACCGACAAATACTCCCACACGAAAAGTCACTAAATGCGACTGCTTTTCTTCAAGTGGTGGAATATGTAGTCGTTGGATTGCTCTTTTTCGATCACCATTTTCGAACGAATTTGTATAAAGATCTTCAACTTGAACCATCAGCGTGTCAATTCGATTCGATGTTTGAAATGGTGCTGATTCAATATGTACCTTCCTGTTCAAATGATAATATTTATAAGTTCATAGCTCATTGAAAGTCGTCTATATAATCGAAGTGTCGCCCCTCACTCATACCCTGTTTGCCAAATAGCACACACATACATACTTTTTCAGTTTCTTCAGTGAAGGACAAATGAATATGTCGTTCACTGTTATGAAGATATTGCTTGGATACCCGTTTAGTTTACTTACAGAGTTACTTATATATTGTTTAATCAAAGCCAATGAGATAAGAATCAACTAAGATTCATTATTTTCAGATAATCACACTCATCCCATTTAGCAGCAGGTTTTTTCAAAAATCTTTTTGATATATTAGCAATATATGCATATTGAACGAACGGTTCGATGACTCAAAAAGTAACCTTTGGCTTATCACTTATTTCTATAGTATTTAATTCAAAGTCATTTAGTACACTGAGAAAAAAATGGTACCACACCAAGCCAAAAAGAGTTTGTTGGATTAAAAGAAGGTTCCGTACTATGCACGAAACCTTTTTTTAATTCAACAAACTCTTTTGGGCTTGATGTAGTACCATTTTATGTTTTCAGTGTAGCTGACTCGTTTTATAATCAACTAGTGTTATTACAGACCATCAGAACGTTGTTGAGAATCAGAGATCTCTACTTATTGACGGTATTTAATGTAAAAGCTCGGTCGGTCCTGTTTTTTTTCTCATATACCGTTAATAAAATAATGAACGTTGAATAGCTTTCACAAGATGATAATAATGTTGAATCGATAAAATTAGTAAATATAAGGACTGAAAAAGCGGCGTAAACTATCTCTGCTCAAGGCTTCATAAGGGAAATTAATAAGCTTACCACCATTCATCACCGCTTGTCATTAGATATAATTTATCGTGTTTTGCCAATATTTTACGAAAACCGCTCGAATTGAGTGTTTGATAATTTTTCAACAGGACCAGCATCAAATAAAATTCACTGAATGCTGCTTTAAGTTCATTGACCTTACGATTTTGTGTTCGCTCTCTTTGTAGTTTTTGTTTTGTTTCAACAGATTTACGCGGTTTCATTTGCCCTAGCCATGTTCGAAAGGAATTCGGCGCAGACAACGGAGCAAGTAATGTGCGATCACTCCTAATTCTGCCGTTGCCACCACCTTGGGAATCATCCAGAATTAATATAGTCGAGCTCATATCATGTTGAGACTGATGATTTTGTTCAATCCTGTTTAATTCCTTTTTGAGTGGTTCAAATAATCGCAATGTTCTAAAACAATACAACAGTCTGGTAGAATTGTGTTTGCTGAATAAATTGAGCGAAAATCAAAAGAAAATGTTCTTAAAAATATTTGATGTAGTAACAAGCTTGTTACGAGAGAAATCACCAATTTATGCAGAAGTGCTTTTAAAAGGACTTACTCGGCAAGTTTTTCAGCGAAGAAATTATTGATTTTTGATGCTTCTTTCTCGCAACACTAATAAATTAAGATAAGAAAAATGCAGAAGCGATTTCAAAAATATCAAGATCAGTGTCTACAATTGATTGCGTCGTATAGAGTCAGTTTCTACTGGAAAAAATACTGTAAATTATTAAATGTTAGTTTATTTGTAAATACAGCTTTGTTTCCGTTGACCCATCTGTTAAATAAGCAAATAGTCTGAAATTTGCTATTGAATGCAGAAATATGTGAAGAAGCGTGAAAAATCGTTAACTGATACGAGAAATATAGTGTACAACAAAGAATCATTCGCGATATCCCACGAGAGTGTTCAGTACATGGTACCATCAAATCTGTATTCTCACCAAGTTGTCTATTTAAAAGATTCAATTCAAAGTTTATCAAGATAGCCTCTTTCAGGCAGACACGTAGAAATCTCAGCAATTTCTTAAACCTAGAAAGCTAATACAGCACCAGTGTTAGTGAAAGATCCTCTGTAAAAATGGGTTTGTCCCTTTTCGTCCCCACTCTTCCGAACATCCGGCTATTTGAACGGATGTTCGGAATGAAAAAATACAGGATGTTGAAAATGAATTTTGGTGTATGGTTTTCAACATAGAAAACAATTTATTCATATAGTATATTTTAAGTCGTTGAGTGTAGCAACCTCTTCTTGTACATTCAGTTAGGGTTTTTAAAAATAGTGTAGAGTTCAATCATACGCGATAGGTCTTACAGATAGATAGTGGGAATGAGTAGTAAAACTATAAACTTTTCTGTTTCATGGAGGCTAGGTGCTGGTAATAAAAAATTTACTAATATTTCTCATAAATGTTCAGCCAGCAGTTCATCAAGTGAAAAAAAAGTAGACGAAACAGATGATGCCAATATTAAACAAATTCCAAAAAAGAAAAAAACAAGACATGCTGCAAAAAAAACATTAGACATAAAAAAAAATTTTCTTACTAAAGTTATTTATTCTCTCACTTGTATAAACTTTTGTTGTCTTATGCTTTTTTTGTGAAAGACTATACTAGGAAGTAAAAGAAAACAAGCTATGTTATTAAAAAAATTCTTTTCTCTTCCGAATATCCGGAGTATTTTCGTTCCGAACATCTAGACGACTTTCATTCCGAACATCCGGTATTTTCCATTCCGATCTTCCAGTCTTTTCATTCCGAACATCGGACATTTTCAAAGAAACTGAAGTTCAGAACGGACTTCTACGACCGATGTCCGTAAAAAAAAGGGGCCGAAAAGGGATTACCCCGTAAAAATGTATCTTATTTCTAACAATTGTAACTGCAACACTATCTAGTTACTTATGTCTATGATGGATAAATCTTGTTTGTTTTCAATAATCTATAATAAAAGAAAGGAAAAGATCTCAAATCAAATGGTGTAGTCTCTGATCAGTGAAGTAGTAAACTAATTTATGTCTTTTGTGAAAAGGGCTGAACGGAACGCTTCAAAAATTTCTCTTTCAAACTTGTATCCATCGTCTTCTTCGAGGATATATGAGAGCTCCATAAAAGTTGATTATTAAGAGACAAATATGACAGGGATTGCTGTTCTTGGTAGATTAAATCAAAACATATAACCCGAAAACAAAATACTTTCACTCTCTGTAGCTGGTCAAAAAAATGAATGATCAGAAAATTCTGCAGACAATTTCAAAAGCTACCATATTCTGTATGTTGCATAATGACTATGTTTTTTAAAGCATAAGAAACAAATTGATTATATAAAAATAGCCTCATCAGAAAATCTTTTCTGAATAGTTACATATTCTCTTAGAGTTTGGCGAAATTCGTGGATTCAGAAGCATAGAGAGGTCCCAATCAATCAAATTAAAGTGCCCAGATCGAGAAATCCCACATAGAATCCGGTATCCGACGATAGGTCTGTAGGGTCTAACAAAATCCGACTGGTGCCTCCTCTTGGATTGGTCGACCTGGGTGAATGATCAAGTACGACATACAAAGCGTCTCCACTATCACTCATGGAATTGTTTCGATCAATGAAAAATAAAATATTTCACCTGCTTGTTGATAAATTTTACCTGAAAAAATTCTTCGTCGGCACGAAGAATATATTGTTCACGTGCTGAATGTTCATTGATGTCGATGATTCGTTTGGCTTCGGCTGCAGACTCATAAAGCATTCGTTTCATTTCATCATATTCGATATATTGAGAATACCATTCAGGAGTTCGATTTTTCAACAAATGTTCAGCAAATTTCATTGTGTCTGATGACTCTACGTAAAATACGCAACGGAGTGGTACTTAAAATTCTCTAATTTAAGAATATTTACAAAATAAGGCTTTGTTTCACTGGCTCCTATTCCATGGTATGGATTTGGTTTTATTTTATTAATCCGCTCTACGAAATCAATGAATAAGAATGATTATTATTTGAATCAATTTCGTGTATTCGTCAAAAAGATGCTTTTTTGATCTACACTCATGTTATCATAGCTCACTTAAAAAAATAAAATTTTATGAACGATAGAATCTATTTTAACATTACATATTCGAATTCCTAAACTAGAGTAGGATAGGTTTCAAGGCAAATTTCCTTGACGATACGGTAGAATGATCTAAAAATGTTGATCTCCTTTTTAACTTAACTTAAAAGTAGTGGCATAACCATGGATGAGTATGATAGGGAGCTGCCTACCACTTGGAAAAAATATAAAAATTTCTAAGATTTCTGTTTACATTTACACATTTTTGAAAAGCCTGTTCATGAGCGACATCCATGCAATAAAATGTAGACAGATTGATAAGTGAGCAGTATCCGTTCTATCATTGATTTTATTTTTGTTTCTCTCTCTGGAACGCGCAGGAAAGTGAAGAAAGATTGTTTTAGAAATAACATTTAAAAATCAAAATTATATAATTCACAGATGTAACAATTTTCGAAAGAGTCGAAACATGGTACTATCCAGTCTGTTTTCAGTTCACATACTAAAAAGAATCAAAATTCCAATAACTCTTTAACTTCACGTGAAATTACTCTTATATATTTATGCATTTGTTTATTTATTTTTCATCTATTCTCTCTATTGTTCACATCACTTCGTTTAATATAAAAGTACACATAGATCGAGTTATCCTTTTTTGAGAAAATCAAAATTAAGGATCTGTTTTGGGTCGCCCAAACAATCTAAGTTATAGTGGATGGACTTTTTAAACGTGGTAGGACGCCGCCCAACCACCAGAGAATTCCTCGTTATGCTACTTCTCCAAAGCTGTATGTAATACAGACTTGTACGTTTGAATTCTATGTCGTTGGAGATACATAATCCAAGTCGGTAATTATCTACATAATTTGAGCTTAAATATAAATAAAACTTTCAAAAACAAGATAAGGACTATAGCAAACAGAAATGAAAAAAATAGATTGTCAATTACTGTTGTTAAAGTTCCATCTTCGCCGTCGGTTGAAAGGAAAACGTTGTATCCCAAATATTAATTATGACTGTGACATGGTTGCGGTGTATAGTTTTTGATGGTATTCTCAATGAGTACCATGAGCGTTTATTAATATCTTCATATTTCAGTGGGCTCTAATAACATAGCCTGTTATTTTTATATATATTCAAGAAGCCTATATAAATATGAAAGACGTATGTTTTGTCAGTGAAAATCTATAGGTTGCAAAAAAAATAGTTCGCTTTAAAACACTTATACTCAGTAAATCTATTGAAAATAAAAGTAATGCTAATTTAATCGTTGTAACTCGATATTAATTAATCTTCAAATCAGAGATACTGAAGGATTACTGCTAGCAATAAGTGAAAACAATACTATGAATAATTGCAAGAGCTGTTCAATTAAATGTGTGATATGTCATCTTTACATCATCATTAAATATATGAAAATAACAAAGTTGTTATTGTCTGGATTTCTAATAGAATATCACGAAAATATGCAGTATATCTCTAGATGAATCGTAGTTTCTTATCCAAACTATTTTTCTTCTTTAAAAAGCCAAAAGCTGCCTTAAGTTAATTTTTTCAATGATTTATCAATTCATCTTATACAGTTGAAGATTCGTTTAAGGCTGAAATAGTAGAATATCGAAAAAAATATTCTGTATTTTGATCGGCTCGTATACAAAAAAAACAATACGGTACACGAAACACGCATGAAATGGAAATTTTAATTTTGAGAGATGACAAATCTTTGAAAAGCGTAGCTCCTCTTATCGAAACATTTTACAAGATGTAAATACTCGTTAGAATATATAAGCTCCAGAGCAATACGGAATAGTGTGCACTTAGAAAATGGCAAGACGTTTTTCGAGCAATCACGTGGATTAGTATCTAACAAACACTTTTTTTCAGCACATACTCCCTGTTTAAGTTTACTATAACATATTTTTCTAAATTATATTACTGTAGAAATATTTGTAAGTCAGCTCAAGAAGCCTAAGCATGTATTTCTCGTCACATTTCTACAGAAATCTATAAGCATTGTGTACCTTTTTGTTTCGATGTAGATGCAAACGTTGTCCGTAGCGTTTATTCACTATGTGAAGCCAAAATAGATAAATAAACGCCAACACCTAAACCAAGATAAGATAGACAAGAGAAAAAATAATGTAAAAGGTGACAAATATTAATGTCTGCGATTCTTCTTACTAACTGAGTATAATTTTCTCTAATGATTTAGCATCTCTTTATCGACTCTTATTTGTACCTTACTACAATATTCGAAAGTAAAACTAAAACTAAAAACAAAGACTGGATTCTTATTCCTCATTATGCTAATCAAATTTTCAGCGATGTTTTTCAGTGTAGCCCGACTCATTGCAATAGTCAGTCCAATACACGCACCCATATGTCTTGAATTTATTTTTAAACAGTAGTCGTAATATGTTGTTAGAAACTAAGATTTTTCTATAAAAGGAAGATCATAGCTACATAAAAATAAAAGAAGAAAAACATTCTTTGAAGTGTTTTTAATAATCGAATGATGAACTGAAAAGCTTTCTATAACTTAGTAAAGAAAATTTTATTTTCTAACAGGATTCCTACCACATGATTGTAGTGAAGATGACCGAAAATAGCTCTAGTACAGAATTGGTGGATAAATCGTTTAAAAAATGAATTAGATTTATAATTTTGTACGTATTGATGATTGTTGTGGCCTTCACAATCATGTTAGGCAATACCTGTTGGCAAAAATTTGATTCTTTTACAACCAATTGATAAATATGAAAATCAATATAACTATACTAATTGAATGATAAATCATTTAAATTATCATATTCATTAATATTTAACAAGAAACTAATTGTTTTAGTTTCTATGTTCGAATATTTCTATTATTTAACTTCAAGAATGAACTATCAAATTTTATCTTAACCTAAAATGATGACCTGAAGATTTACATCTACAATCTTAGAACATAAATTAAAATTATTTAGCTGTATGCATTATCGAGATAATTCAACCAAAAAATTAACTTGTTATTATATTTTAAATTCAAGATAAATATCTGTATATATTTATATTAATTCTAAATAAATTGTTATAAGCTATTTCGTTTAAATGAAAAAGATTGAAATATTTTTTTCATTATTTCTCTATTGTAAAATAAAATCTTCAGAGAATAAACCTCTCAAAGGAAAAATTAATGTTTATATGTTGTAAAAATGATAAACATTTAGCTCATATTCATTAAAATTCCAAACTAAAAAAAAAGTGTTAATCAATATTTAATCATTTTGTGACGAGGTCTTTGAGAATTTTGAATAAAATTTATTTATTTCTTCATTTCTTTGTAATGTAGTTTGATGTATTTGAGATCGAAGATGACCAATTCTAAAACTTGTTTGATGATCATAAGAACTTCCCGCGTGAGGACCTTTCAATGTTAAAGTTTCAAGTTCGATTTGCATTTCTCGAATATGATCATTGTGATTATTTATACTTTCCATTATCTTCTATGATGAATTCAAACGCTTTTTCTAAAAGATAAAATAGTTTATAGTCAATAATAAAAACATTTCAATAGAAATGTTTCTCTAATAAAAAGACAAAAGAAATGAAAAAAGTAAAAGAAAGTTTTTCTTTTATAAAACAACAAAATTTTGATCTTATGTAATTGAAATCAAAACTAATAAAATCATTTATTGTTTTGATTTGAAATTGTTTTTTCAACTAGAAAACAAAACTAATTCCATTCTTTCAATATTTTCCTTCATTACATACTCGAAATTCTTTTTTATTAAATCAACAATAGCGTGATTTCATCATTTTCATAACTTAGAACAAAAACGAATTTTGAAAACAATTAGTTAGATTTATTTCTCCTATTAGTTGCTGTTACGTTTCGATAATTTTTCTATTTAAAAGTTATAATTTCTAAGAAATGCTTTTATTTTTATAAATAAATTATATCAAACATAAGCTGAATATTATATATTAATTTTTATTTTAAATCATTCATCAACAACATTTTTGAATAGATGAATAAAAATTGAATGCTTCTTTTATAATGAAAATATGTGAAATATTTATCATTCCTATTGAAATTATTTCTTTTCTTTTCTTGTTGGTTTTCATTGAATGCATATTTTAAGTCTCGTTTTTTGATTTTATTACATAAAATTCAAATGAATTTTTTCCAATACGCAGATAGTTGTCAATATGGTAATCCTTTGTAGAAAACCTATACAAAGAGACGAATACACAAGTCTGTTCTCGTACTATTTAAAAACAGTATCTACTATATCTATTGAATTTAATCAAAAGGCAAAAGACACTTATGTTACCTTGTTTATCGATATTCCCACACGCACACCCACCCTCAAGAAATAAAAATGAAAAATTTTTGAGTATTTTTAGAATTAAAATATAAAAATCATTGATTGAAAATTTCCAAATAAATAATTTTAATAGATAAAAAATGAATAAATGAAAATAATATTTATATTGAAGCAAAAACAAAAATTTCTTTTTATTATTATTTTGAAAATATTATTTCGTAGTATTTTTTCTAAGATATGATTACAAATGAAATTATCAGCTGAATTTATTCTCACGATTAAAATAATTCAAGGAAAAAAAAATATAATTTGATGAAACGTAAAAATAAATTGATTATTATTATTATTTAGAATTTTCTTTAATACGTTTGTCGATTTAGTTTTTAATAATGAAGTCTAATTTATTTGCTGTTCATTTTTTTTGTGAATGAAAAAAACTCTTCATTAAATAAATAATAATGAATTGCATAGATTATTTTTATTAATTTGTCAGTAGATGATGATAAAGCATTTTTTATCAAATATGAAAAACAAAACTGATGTCATTATTGTTCGCGTTCTTACTTTCAAAATAGCACTATCATCAATGACAATAATCATTTTTTTCTAAATAAAATCACAGATTTTATTAGAATATTATTTTATTAGAAGTTATTTATTATTAAAGGTTAGTATAAAATATTTATACTAGAATTCTATTTGTTTTTATATGATGAAAATATAATTTACATTTAACGAATTATTATTTAAAAATATGAAGTCAATTCTCCAAACTTAGAATTCGCTATTGAGATTTTCGATAATATGAGAAATGAATAAAATATTTAAAACTATCTTTATTATTGAAAGTAAACAAAGAAAGAAATCTTATTCAATAATATGTTAGGAGAAATTAAGTTTTTATTATTATTGAGAGAAGACTAACTAGTTTTAATTGTTTCTCTCTATTTTATTTGCTTTTTCAATGTCTATGTCTAACTTTAGATTTGAATAAAAGATCCTCATTGAAATGATATTAAAACTAGAACTGAAACAAATTTTTTTATGTTTGGCTGTCACTATTGGTACATCATCATTAGCATATAGACTTTGGTTATCAATTCGTAAAAAACTTAATTTTCAACGCCGTAAAATAAAATCTTCAAAAAGAAATGTTTATATAAATGGTATATCATCGTGTTTTCCGTCAAATTGTTATCGACAAACACAAATGCGTGATATGTTTATTAAAAATTATTGCTCTGGGCAAACAAATCTTATTCCGAAAGATTTAGATTTTATTGATCGTGTATTTTCAGCAGCATTAATTGAAACATGTTCTGTTAATTTACCTGAAGAGCATTTATTTATTCGAATGACACGTGAACAATATACAGCATATGTTAAAAAAACAATGTTATCATTATCATGTCAATCGGCAAGAAATGCAATTGAAAATTCTAATGGAATTAAAATAGATCAAATAACACATATTGTATTTGGAACAATGACAGCAACAATTGCTGCTCCATCAATGGATATTTATATAACAAAAGAACTTGGTCTCAATCTAAATGTTAAACGTTTAAATGTTGAATCAATGGGATGTTTAACAGGTTTTCGTTTAGTTGGCTTATGTCGAGATATTACACTAGAAGCAGAAAATAATATTGTTTTATTAATTGTTTGTGATATTCGATCAGCATTAGGAAATCAATTCACACCATTTATTTCAAATGAACCAATTGATAAATCAAATGTTATTATTGCAGCTCTTTTTCGTGATGCTTGCGGTGCAGCTATTTTCTCACAGAAAAACTCTAATAACAATAATCATTTAAATGTTATTGATCATCGGTCAGCTATTATTGAAAATACATTGGAATTAGGTCGTTTAAAAGAATTTAACGATTCAAGTATTCATTTATATTTAGATAAACAATTACCATATGCTGTATTTAATTATCTACCTAATGTTGTATATAAATTAATTGATCAATATAAAATCGATAAAGACACGTGTCAATTTGCAATTCATACAGGTGGACCCAAAATAATTCGTGGAATTCAAAAATGTTTAAATCTTAAAGATGAACAATTGTGTGCATCTTGGTATGTCATGATTAATTATGGAAATCTTAGCGGAAGCAGTAATCTTGTTGTTCTTGAACATTTTACTCGTTGGAAATATTCATCTATTAAACCTGATTGTAAAAATATTATTTTTCCAAAAGATTTTAATCAATATAAATATGTTATTGGACTTTCATTTGGACCTGGTATTGCAGTTGAATGTATTCTATTTCAATTAGAATAAAATATCTATTTTAATTTATTTTATTATTGTTGTGATTTCATTAAAAATAAAAAATTTATTATTTTACATTTTATTATTTTTTTTTATAAATCTATATTTGGTAAAGATCCAAAACGGACATAGAACTGATAGCATAATTAAAAAGAATAAAAAGGCTGAAATAAATTATTTATAAGTGATTAAATATTGCGCATAGGCTTGTGCATCATGATAAATAACAAAAATATGATTTCCATCCGTTGTTGTATCGTATCCAGGTGGTCGAGTTTTCATTGATGAATTTCCTAAAATTGTTTCTCCAATAAGAACTTGTGCAATAAACATTGAACGTTCTCCATTTGAATTTGGTTTAGCAAAATGATGACAATAGGATGGATCTGAAGAAAAATAAACTCCCATTCCATATGCCGTACCTAAATCAAACATAAAGTTAGAACATTTTCAAAAAAACTAGAAATACTATTTAAACCATGTAGACCAGCAAAACTTCTATTGAAGCAATCATTTATAATTGAATTATTTAATTTAAATTTTGATGCATGATATAAACGTTTTTCTGTATTTTTATTTAATCTTTTAAAAAAATCTTTTTTATGTGCTAAATATTGAAAATACCAACGTTGATTTTGAATTCTTTCAATTTGAATTATTTTTTTAATTTTTCCTTTCATTAATTGATTAAATTCATCATGGACTGTTTTATATTCATTCAAATGAAATGAAACGATAAAACGATTTCTAGTTTCATCTGATAGATCCCATGTGGAAGGAATTTCATCATAATTTATCAGTTGATTATCTAAAAAAAACAATATTTGTTTTTCTTAACAAAATAAAAATCAAATTTAACCTTGCTGTTCATGACTATGTAAAAGTTGTTGATAAAATTCTTGATAAATTTGATCTTGATCAGGTAAAATAATAAACTTAATATTTATGGAAAGATTTCGAGATTTAATTTGATAAATAAATTGATTGATTATTGTTTTAATTACAATTGGTGTTGAAATATTTTTATGATTTGAACCAATCAATGGTAATGCAATTGACTTATAATTATATGAAAGAAGATTTTGAATTAGAATATTAATAAAATCGTTAATGGATTGTTGAAGAATAAATTCATTTTCATTTGGATTCCATTTAACAAAAAATATTCTTTTACATAATAAATTTCCCGATGGACAAGATATTAATAAACTATTTGGATTTAATTTATTTTCTTTTTCATATGATTCATAAACTTGTTCACCACCTTCAATTATAATCAATTGTTTTAATATATCTGATGATGAACTAACAACGATAGCGTCGACCTTTTTTTCAACAATAATAAAAATGAAACTAGTTCAAAAAGCTTGTTAGCGCAGCTACTTCGTAGCTGAAATGTGGAACTCATATATTTCGCAAAAGAGAACCCGTTATTTACTAGTAATTCTTTTATCTAATAAAGTATGGTATAAACTACACAACGGATGAAAAGCAACAATCAAGTATGATTACGCTAATTGATGGTGGTCAATATCATCAAAGAAGCATTGAAAAGGTTTTTCAAATTGTTATTTAATTCAACTAAATTCTTCTGGTTTCTAGAATACGTGTTATTAAACATAAGCGTCATTATTCTAGAGATAGAAATTGGCATAATGTTCCAGAAATCAACAGTTCTTTCTGAATGAAAGGAGCAAGAAAAGAAAATGCAGTAGATAAGTTCGATATTCTAGATGTTTATTCAATCTGAATTTTTCTGAAAGATCAATTATAAAATTAAATATCAATTGAATTCGAACATTTTTCAAAAGAGTTATGATCGACTAGTATTGAAATAGAATGTAACTTAGTCTATGTTAGGCACGCAGCATCATAATAAAAATGGTAATGATCGCATTTTTAAACAAACGATATGAAAACACAATACATCAACAAGTCATCGTCTACACACGTAACAACTCGAGACTTCTTATTCAGGCTGAATTTTGCTAATGGAGCATACTCTTAAAAGTTTTTCAAATAGTAAAAATAAATTTATTTTACGCTCGTTTATCTGTAATGGGGGCGGTGAGCCGAAATAATTTCACCATAACACTTTCACTCACAATTTTCTTCGAAAATATATGTGAGTTCCACAAAAAGAAATAAAATCCTGACTTACTTTTTGTTTGATAATATCTCCTTTTTCTAATTGTATTTGACTATTTTCAATTGTTTTTGATATAGAATTCTGTGATATTGATTGATTTAATGAATTAAGATGTTCATAAAAATAATTAAAAATATCTTTTTTATTTGATTCAATAATAAATGAAACAAATATATTTTTATGTAAAAATTGTTGTTGGTGAATTTGTTCTATAATAGTTTCAATAATAGATTCCAAAGGATATATATTAGAATTAAAATCTATTGATGAAAATGAAATTCTTTTATAATTATTCTCATGAACTTTTTCCATAATGCTATTTATAATGCTTTCTATTGATTTTTTAACTAAAATAATATCTGATTGAATTTCTAAATCAATAAAATATATCATTTTTGATTGAATAAATCCATCGGATTGAATACTGATAATAGGATTATCTGATTTATTTTCAAATTTATGATTAATTGTATTTCGAACTGATGATCCACCATATTCATAAATTAATTCTAATAAAGATTTTGATGACCACCATATAACAATGACATCACTCTTCAACCAAGGTTATTTTTTAAATAAAAAACACATAAATACTTTTTTTTTGAAACGACTAAAACTTACTTTTTCTTCTATTATATTTCCAAAACGGACTATCATAGATTCATTTTCATGAAAATTTTCATCGTGATTTATATCCTAAAATAAATGATATTAACTAAAAATATAGAAAAAAAAGCAAGAAACTTTACGGTTGTTAAATATTGCTGTTGATTAAGTATTGTTGATTGTTGAATATTAATATAGACAGGTAATGAATGTGAATTTCCATTTGATGGTTTATATTTATGAATAATAAATTGATCATTTTTTAGTAGAAATTCAGGTATCCATCTAATAAAACCGTTTATTGTTTGATCATTATTTGAAAATGAAAATTCTTCTAAATTAAATAAAAATAACTGATTATCAATAGAATCAATATCAATATATAAATATTTTCTTCTATAATTAATTCCGTTATCAATCTGTTGATTAATAAAATGGCTTAATTGATACCAATGATTTAATTTAATATTCGTATGATCAATGTTTAAAACTTCTAAAGATATAGATTTATTTATTTTAATCGATAAATATTCATTAAACATAATTTGCCATGTTGAATAAATATGAAAATTTTCAATTGATGAACCACGACATCGAATCCATAAATATTCATTTATTGATGAATTTGATATTTGAGATGATAAACATTTCATTAATGATATTGAATATAAATAATTATTAATATTCATATTAAATTCTTCATTTTCTATAGAAATCAAAGCGTTTCGTAATCGGTTTGATTGATTATTATCAAATAAAATCCATTGATTACCATTTATTATTTTATATTCCCATATAGAGTTTAATTTCATTTCGTTATTATCAAATATTGTTGATTGAGGTAAATTTAAATCTAAATAATTTAAAATAAGAAAATTTTCAAAAAATTCCCTTATATTTCTATTAGGTAATCCATTTTGAATAGGTGTTTCTTCTAAATGATTTTTAATAAAATAATTAGCTCCATTATCAATCAAATATTTAACAATAGAAACAAGCAGCATGTAATGCTGTTGAACCAGATGTTCCATTTAATTGATTATTTCTATTATATTTTCTATTTTGTATATTAATGAAACATTTACCTTGTTCAATTAAATATTTAACTATATGAAAATAATTATTTCGCGATGATGAATATAATAATGTTGTATCATATATTGAACATTTATCTTTATATTTTGGATACTTTTCAATAAAATTTTTAACAACAGAAAAATTTCCATCAAATGAACTTTTAAAAGCATCAAATGAATAAATAATTCCATTAAGATCTTCAGATAATTGTTCAAGAATATAAATTTTAATTGTTTCATTAAAAATTCCTTTTGAATAATCATAATTATAATCATTAAAAAAATCTAAAAAATAATCTTGATATTTTAATGATAAAGTGTCAAGTAAACATTTTAATTTATTATTAATAACATTTGTTAAATTTTCCATCATTTGTTTATTGAATTGAAATATTTCATTGGAATTAATAAAAGATGATTTTTCATAATTGATATCTTTAATTATTTCAATTATTTCCTCTAAACCTTTTTTTAACTTATTTTCATCATTTTCTGAAGACATTTCAACCAATACTTATTGCATTGACTTGCTACTGTGTAATTGGGATCACATTTTATATTGAGAGATTTCTTTTGAGTTTTTCTTTTTCTTCAGTAATTTTTATACAAAAACAGAAAAGAAACAATATTCTTTCTAGATGTATGATTTCTATCGAATCAGGTAATGTGTGTAGAAGAGATTTTCGAAAGAAAAGTAAGAAAAAAAGAACGAAGAGACGAATAAATATATTTAGTGGATTGTTTACCCGAAATACGATTCCTCTTTAACAGAAACAAAAGGAAGTGAATAATAAACTTGATGTCGATTTTTGAATCAGTTTTAAAATAGGTTCTTAAATTATTCGAGAATCTTTTTTTCCGAAAAATTAAGTTTCATAATGTTGTTGTTTTTGATTTTCAATACAAGAAACTTTCAAAATCGATGTGCCTCTATAGCTCAGTGGTAGAGCGCCAGTCTTGTAAACTGGAGGTCCGTAGTTCGATCCTGCGTGGAGGCATCCTTTTATTTTATTTTATTTTTCTATACATTTTAACAAATGCCATGCCGTGCATGTATCGACGATGCAACTGAAACTATTGCAACAGATGATTAACAAGAAGTAGATGCTACACATCCTTAAGCATTGAGATAAACAATTAAATCAATATTTATTTCCCATTCTTCAAAATTTTATTACTTGTGATAAAGCAATAAAATCTCCTACTGAAGTATTATGGCCTAGAGTCAAATATATTCTTGGTCAAAAATTAAACATTTCTTTTAGAATGACTGTCAGAACCTATCATTTTAAAAATATTAAAAGTGAACAGATTTTATTTTTAAGTAAGGAACTGGTTTCCCCCACGAAATAAAAAATAATCTTTAACGATAAATATAAAAAATCTGCTATTGTTTAAAGTGAAATATTTTAGTTTATTTAGAAATAATTTATTCTAATTGTTGCATAGAAACTTTTTCTTGAATAGAACTCCAATTAAATAAATTTGTTAATAGCTAATCATTGATTATTAATCACATTTATATTTTACAATTCTATATTCGATTATTTCTTGTTGTTTTTAATCTGATAATGAATTGGAAATACTATAAATATAAAAAGGACTACGATTTTAGTAAGAATGTTTCTTTTTATATTGAAGAGAAAAGTTGATTACTTTGAAGTTTGTTTTAAAATACTTCGGAACCATTAAAATCATTAACATTGAATTTTTTTCAAATTTAATAGGTTTTTTGTTTTGCCTTCCGATATGTCGGGTGTCGGGGGTTTAGTGTGTTGGGAATATTTCCACAATACTTATCAGTTACGTATCAATTTTACATCGAGAGAAAATCCAATTAGTATAAATGATGCAATATAGTTAACAATTTCACTTTTAGTTAAATATAAGTTTGAATTCGAAATACACATCTGATGAAATCTAACGTCTTTTTGCATTTTATTGATTTTTAAATACAAAATATTAAATTTTGTCATACATAAGTATATTCTATCAAATACAAAGGTCACTTTCAACAAACACATGCCGATGTTCTTTTTGAGTATAGTACAAATGTTGTAAATAAATTATTTATGTTACTTTTATTATCAAATGCTGAAATATGTACACTTGTTCATTCGCTTATATTTCATATAAACAAAAAGAGATTGAATTAATGCAAATTTTAATTAAAACACAAAAGAAATCAATCTGTAGTACATATGAATTTCAAAGAGACTGATACTTACCATCAATATCATCTCTTAGATCACCTCTTGTTCAATGTATAAATGTTTCATTATTAATTTGTTTAAATCTATTGATACAACGCCAAAGAATATATTATAGTTAAATAGCTCAATCGATGTGATTAACTATTCTCTAATTAGTTACATTGAACATAAAATATAGATTCTTACTTCATGATAATAAAGCTTTTTATATTGTAAATATAAATTATAAATGAATAGATTATATTGATTTATTTTCTAAACTAAATCCTTAAAATAAAAAACTAAAACTAATTAAAAAGAGGAATGAAAATTATAAGGTATTGCATTAGTAATAGTTTGTTGATCTTTAAATGATGCATAAATATCTCTTTGTAAATGTTTTTTACGATGTTGAGAATCAAATTGATTTAAATCTTCGTCATTTAAGGGCCCATAAATAATTGGTTTATTTGGATGAAGCGCATAAAATGCTTTTGCATGAAGAATTATTTTAGTATAACCAAATATATCTTTGTGAACATTTCTGGTTGTTCCCCAATTAGTATATTCAAAAATTAGATGATGAACAAGGTGTTGACGAAATAAATTTTCACTTGCTCTTAATACATGTAATTCGTAACCTTGCACATCAATTCGTAGTAAATATATTGATGATGGAAATGAATAATTATTTAAATTAATTGTTTCACCAAAATAAATATCATTCTCATTATAATTATCAATAGAAGATAATTGACTGCTTGTGTTTTTACTAAAATAAATTTTTTTATTTTCTCTTAAATCAGTAACAGCTTTTTTTATTAAATGAACATTCGACTCAAATTTATTAATTTTAATTGACTTTTCAATAAATGAAAATTTTCTAGGTTCAATTTCAAACATAAATACTTGACATCCACATGCAGCAGCATATAAACCAAATTCTCCTTAAAGAAAAAAGAAAATAGTTTAAATAAATTCCTATTAAATAATGATAACCTAAAGATGCTCCAATATCAACGATAGTTGTATTTGGATGTTTTTGACATGTTTGATGAAGTTTTAATTGATTTGTTAATAATGTTTGTGCACGATTTCGTTCTAATGGAAATTTATATCCTTGATATGTTACTAATTTAAATGTTGGTTCTCGATCATTTATTTCAAATATTTTTATTAAAATATTTTTATTTTTATTAAACGAGAATAAATTATTTATTGAATTGGAGTTTTTATAATAATTTATTATTGAAAATATTAATGGAATCAATGCAAATAATACTAAAAACCATCGACTTTGAAATAATCTATGAATAAGCATTGGCGTTTGGTTTCTAAAGTAAATTTCATAGAATAATAAATTTCTTTTATCAATATTTCATGTCTTGGTAACAATGTCTTGAATGCAAGACAAAAAGAGAAAAGAAAAACCTAAATGTATGTTTCATTTTTCAATATATTTTACAACTATTTATTCATTATGTCAAAACATTTATTTGCTTTTAGAAATCTTTTTCTTTTCTTTCACAAAAATTCCTTCTTCTACTTAAACATGAACAAAAAATAATATATTTCTCTATATTAATTCCATATTTCAAATGAATTCAAAACAAGAAACTTTTTATTCTAATAACAAAAAAAAATCAATAAGAAAAAAAAATCTTGAAATTTAAATTCATTATGAACATACTTATTTTGAACTGTTGATTTCATTACAAAGTCAATCAATTTTTTTCAAGAAGGCTTTTTCTTAATTAAAGAAGTCCAACTAATACGAGAATGTATTTTTGTATATTAATGCTTATTGCTAAGCATGAAGATTAGTAAGATAAACGTGAAACTCGTTCAGTGATTTAGTTCTCGATATTTTCTTCGATATATCTATTTCTTCTGCCGATTTTTCTTTTCGAATTCATAAAAGAAGAAGAAAAAATGAGAAAAGCTTTGGAATATCATTTTTGCGAGTTGTAGTATATCACAAAATCTATAAAGGATTCAATTTACGTTTATCTCTGATATTGGCTTGTAATCATTACGATATTATTTTTCACTATGGTTCAACTCATCCAAGTTCCTTTATTTGCATCCAGATATAGAGATGGCTTTTAAATACTTTGTTGCTTAATTATCATAGAAATAAAGTCGAAATTCTCATTTTCAAAGCTATCAGTTTTTCTTTTCAAGAGCCGAAATGAATAACTAGGGAATAAGTTAAAACAGTAGATGTTTTGGTTCAGTTTTCGAATAAATTCTTACATGAAAAAATATTTATTTATTTATTTATTCAAAATAAGAATTGTTAAATATGAACTGTTTGTTCTGTTTGACGATACATAATATTATCAGTTACAAGATCAATTTCTCTTAAAGGTATGAAGCGTGTTTTTTTAACAAATTTATAAACAAAAAAAATAATAAAAAACACTGGTATTGTTATATAAGCTGATAAAAAATTACTAAAATTGAATGGATGTGTTGTAAATGCTGAATAACCTTGTCCAAGTACGGATACCAATATTAATGATCCTGCTAATATTGGTCCTAAAGGAAAAAATAATGCTTTATAAACTAGATCATTCAATGAATATCCTTGTATAATAAAAGCTCGACGAAATCTCCAATGAGCTACTGATATACCAAACCAAGCTATAAAACCCATTATACCGGTTATATTAACTAACCATTGGTAAATTATTTTATTGCCAATAAATGAAAAAGCAAATAAAACTGTTGATATAATTGTTGTAAATACAAGACACCATATTGGAATACCTGTTCGAGTTAAATGAGAAAATATTTTTGGAGCTTTTCCTTCGTTGGCTAAAGAATATAAAACACGTGTACAAACATAAAGGCCTGAATTACCAGCTGATAATATTGTTGTTAATATAACTGCATTCATAATATGAATAGCTGGTTTAATACCTGATTTTATAAAAACAAGTGTAAATGGTGATATAGCTACATTTTTAACATCATCATTATGAGCTAAATTAGGATCATTATATGGTATAACAAGACCCATTACAAATATTGATCCAACAAAAAACAATACTATACGCCAAATAGTTCCATTCATTGCACGTGGAACATCACGACGAGGATTTTCACTTTCACCTGCAGCTATACCAACTGCTTCGGTACCCTTGAACATTTTCAATATTTTATTTTAAAAAATATTTTATTTTAAAAAATATTTAGTTACTTGAAAAGCAAAACCAGAAACAATTGAAGTTGTAACAACACCACTAAAGCCTTTATAAAAAGGTGCTCCATCAATTTTCCAATTACTAACTCCAATTTTATCGTGTCCAAGTACTCCACTATCGACTAATACGCCAACTATTATAAATATAACAACAGTAAGAACTTTAATCATAGCAAACCAATATTCAGCTTCTCCATAACCTTTAACAGTAAATGCATTTAATACAAACATAATTATCATTCCTATTAATGACCAAATAACACTTGGAACATGTGGTAACCAAAATTGAACTATTATTCCAGCAGCAACTAATTCACCAGCTATAGTCGTAACCCATGAAAAATAATAATTATATGCTAATGCAAAACCAAATGCTTCATCAACAAAACGACTTCCATATGTATTAAATGAACCACTTATTGGATATTGAGTTGAGAGTTCAGCTATTTTAATAGTGTTTTCAATTAGATTTTCTTATTTAAGTTACAATATAGAATTAAATACTCATTCTATCGAATCAATTCAAAACAAATTTCATTGTTATTATCTTTCAATAGACTACGTCACAAATTTCTTCAATTAGAAAATAATTTTATTGTTAGTTGAAAAACAAAATCCTATTTAAATGATAATCTCATCATTTAGATGTTTGTATATTTTTGTTTAAATTCTGATGAAAAAAACAAAATTAATTGAAATTAAAAATTTGAACTAACCTAAACTTGTCATAACAAAATAAACCATAATTGAAACAAGAAGATAAGAAACAAGAGATCCACCAGGTCCCGATCCAGCTAATGCTTGACCCGAAGCTAAAAATAATCCCGTACCAATAGTTCCACCTAATGCAATCATAATCATATGTCGTTCTTTTAAATTTCTATGAAGATCTTTCGTTGACGATAATAATATTTTCTTATCATTGAAGCTTTCTTCATTTTCATTAATTACTGTTTCTGATATCACACTAACCTAAATTGTTTTTTATTAAAAAGATACAGAAATAAAATTTGTTTTATTTTCTAAAGAAAATTTTTGTTCAATTACATTAGAATTCATTTTGTTATTTTGAATATTCGAATGTTTTTCGTTCTGTTGACTTGAGCTTTTAATTTATTTATAAATCTAAAATCCAAACATAAATATTTCCTATGATAATACACATCTAGAATAGAATATATTGCGAAGTTAATGATGATAGAACAAATTGCGTAAACAGATACCTAAAAGCACGTTGTTCTTTTATTTTGTATTCAAAGAACAAAATATGAAAGAAAAAAAGCTAAACATAAAGTTAAATATAAAGAAACAGTTCTTATCATTTTATTTATCATTTAAAAAAATGAATGATGATGATTATCATCTTACCGAATGATATTCTATCTTGAAAACAACTCGAGCTGTATTAGAATTAAAATGCATGTTTAAAAGAATCAGTTTTCGAGAAAGATTTCAATAAAAATTGTTCTGATATTTTTCATTAAATAAATAAATATTTCAAGAAAAAAATTATAAGAAAATTAAAGTCTATTATTCTAAAGAATGAATCATTATTTCTGATTAGAAATTATGTCGAACCATTGAAGTTTTCTAAGAAATATTTTATATATTAATATTATTGATAATTGAATGATGTATTTTAACATCGCCAAACAGAATAATCTGAAAGCAATTGATTTTATCTTTTAATTTTGTTTTTTTCTATAAAAAAGTTAATTTTGTTTTTATGAAAAACAACGTCACTGCAACCAGTCGAAGTTTTAGTAGATGAGAACAAAAACCCGTTATAAGTAGATTATATCTTTAAAAAAAACAAGACAATGAAATAGCCTTACGTTTATAATACGAAAAAAAATATTTTTCGTTTTTATTAATAATATAAATTGATTGAATATGATTGTTTTGTTAAACTGATGTTGATAACAACTAAAACTTTAGTAGAAATAGCTCGTTCAGTATTAATCTATGGAGGTTTAACAATATTATTTTTCGGTATGTTTGGTTCTTTAATGGTTTTAATTATATTTAACTTAAATCCTTTAAATGAAAATTCATATTCAATCTATATTCGAACTATTGGAATTTTATCATTTCTATTTTTACCAATTTATTTTTTACCAAATATAATGACATTTAGTTTTGAAATCAATTTGCTTTCATTTAATCGAATATTTTGCAAATTTCAAATGAGTTATGCAGTATTTACAATAACATCAATATTTTTTTAAATTGTTTTCTTTCATTTGATCAATATTCAATAATATCTTTATCACCAAAAATTCGTTTATTTAATTCAATTAAATTATCACGTTATCTTGTTTTCATAAGTTTAATTCTTATTTGGTTTACATTTGGAATGCCTGTTGCTATTTTATTTGATAATGTTCCACAAGAAAATCTTAATGGAACAGAAATTTGTACATTAAAATCAAATGTTTTGTTATTATTAGCAGGATTTATATATTTTCCATTACTCGAAGGAATATTTCCAATATTATTAGCGATTTATTTTTGGTATATAACAAGAAAACTAGTTAAACGTTTAAATAATCATTATATGATGCAAAGATTCGATAGACAAATAACTCGAACATATATGTTTGAAATAATTGTAAATGCAATAGCATCGATGCCATTTGCTACAGTTAATCTTTATCGATCTTTAACAAATGGACAAAAAAGAAATGAAAATGAAGAAAATATTGTTCAATTTGTTCGTCTTCTTGCTATATGTTTATATTATATTTAATATTCAACAAATTTTTATATTTATATGATAACATCAAGTGAATTTCAAATTAAGGCTTTTCAAATTTTATCTTTTTGGCATTATAGTCAAAGACATTCAAATAATCGTGCCATTCATGCTCAAATGTAAATTTATTTATTTATTTATTTATCGAATATTGTTTTTCAAAAATATTTTATACAAATAAATCTAATTTATTGATTTTGTTTTTATGCTCTATAATTTTTAATTTCGATATTAAACATATGATAAGTATTGATTAAAAAATGAGTGAATGGAATATTTCTAATACTGCTTTTTGACGAATTCTTATTGTTCGAATAAAAAATACGTGAGTGAATATGCTCTAAGTAATTTATAATCAATAAAATTAAATATTTCATTCCAATTTTTAAGTTAGATTTATTTGAAAATCAATTATTAAGATATGCTTTCTTATATAAATATGTTCTCCTATTGAAAATCATTCAAAAAATATAAATAAATCAATTAACGAACAAGAAATTGACATAGAAAATAAAATCAAGACAACTAATTATTGATATTGCTTAGAAACTCAATGAAAATACAGATCAAAATTAGTTATCTAGACATTTTTATGATTTGCAATTAATATTAAGGTAAATTATCTATTAACTAAACTGCTACGCAATAGATTTATGTTATTTGTTTTAGTGAGATATAAAATACAAAGTTTTACACATTTCAAGCATGAATTTAAATGAATTTTAAATAACTATGATCAATATGTAAATATTTGTGAAGATAGAATAGAATCGAAAGAAAATAAAATAAAGAAGTTTTATTCTAATTCTAAGAAGATTAGTTTATAATAGACAAAAAATATCAATTCTGATTATGAAAATATATTTTATTAAAAATAAAAAAGATTGTTTTATTTTCAAATTTTCTTTTTAGAAGAATAATAAGATTATTACGAATGAATTTTCTTCTCAAGTAATGCTCATCACACGACTCACTGGATTTTTGATTGAATATTTAAATATTTTCTTTTTAAAATACTTCAACCCTAAACAGCATACTTATACATGTATATCCAACGGTAGATAGAAAAGGAGTGCAAGTTTGAATGTAAACATAATATGCACCTCAGTCAGTATAGTTTCTCATAAAACTATCAACATCCATATGCTGCCATTTGTCATCGATTCAATCTACGATATTTATCTTAACTCGGCGACCTAACCGAAATCTAGATAATCTAAAGAAATATAATATTATCCTGAACCATTTTTTCTAGATGTTTTATACTGAAAGAAAACTTATTCTGGGAATTCATTCCAGAAATATTTTTAACTTTATGCAACTTTTACATAATGCTGAAGCCTGTTGGGACAATACCATAAAAATGATTCCTACCTATTTCTTAAACTTGAATAATGGTATTAGTGAACTTTTCATATTGCTGATTGGTTGTTAGACAGCGGTACTCATGTCTAGCCACTCCTATGATAACGCCCACTTCTACTTAGAATTATTCTATATTAATGATTATTTCTATGGCTTCTACTTTGTTTCATGAGAAAAACCTTCTAGCTTGGAATAGAATAGTTCTCAATTGAAAAGTCAAAGCTATTTACTTTCTTGCGGCCTATCCTTTATTATAATACTAAAACTTCGTTATCTACTTAAATTCAGAATGTTACACTAAAATCCTTTCTTAACTGATTATAAGTATACTACAGAGATGTTCACAGAACAGGGTGAAAGTTATACCCTGCAACGTAAAAACCCAGTTGTTTGAATTTCCGTTTTGAAGAAATCCCTTTTTTACTTTTCAAGATTGAAAAATAAAAATAGACTCCAGTGAGCGACACCAACTGATATTCAGAAGTTCCTCTATTTGACCCAGTCCATATAAGCCACGACTCGTTCCAACAGAAGTTGCTCAATCGATGGTCGCCAATTTTACTCGTTATTTTACGCTCGATAGGAACAAGCGTCTCATGAGTTTCTACGCAAGCCATTTCAAAATATTTTCTTCCGTTCTTGAGATAATAAAATTTCTCTAAGACAATCCTCATCAGAAAATGACATTTTGTGATTTTTTCTCAGACCTATATCTCTTCAAGAAAAGTTTTTTTCGCTCGAACTTTTTACTGTTTGTGCATCTGTGGTTGAGATATTTTTCCTTATAACATGAGCTCAACTCATCAAGAATTCATCCGTTTGAGCTTATATTTTGAGGAAAAATATCTCAGCTAAAGATAAATCTACATTGAAAATTTCAAGCAAAATGAATACATCTGTAAAAAGATTTAAGTCTCAGAAAAATTTTATATCGCAAGAATGGAACAAGATTTTTTGAAACAGTTTGCCCATGAATTCATCAAAGACTTACCTCTATCATGCATAAAAGTATCAGTTAAATCTAGCACCGTTGATTGAACAGGATCGGCCATGACTTATCTGGACTCTCTAAAATAAAAAATGTTCTATGCTACAATGAGGAAAATGCCTTTTTGTTTTGAAATATATTGAAATTACAGCACAAACATTATTTTGATTCAGCAGGGTACCCTGTCGTGCCCTGGTCAGAAGACCGAACAGGGCAGGACCGGATGCAAAAAAATCACCCTGTGGACATCTCTGGTATACTATAACATATGAACTTAGACTTGAACTCAAACAAACAAAACCATTTGATTTGAAAAGATTTTTTAAATCTAAATAAATAAAATCGAATGCATCATCATTTCTTACAAAGAGAACAATTTAATAAAGAATGTTCTTCTTGTTTAATTGAATTAGAAAATCAACAACTTCTTACATTCGTTAGTTCATTGTTGAATTTTTCAAATATTAAATAAAAAGATACATATGATAAAGCAAATTGTTGATAGAGATGTCTAGACGAAAGAAAAACAAGTTTGTTTTAAATTGATACTGAAAAGAAGCAGTCAATTTTATACGTTCTCTTTCTTTTATTTAGCTATTTTTAATTCATTGTTTGAATAAAAACATATTTCTATCATAAATTACATTTTAATTTGATTTCCTTGAAAAATAAATAAAAAAAAATTTAAATAGACTTTTTTCGAAAATATAATTTGACACTTTTATGAATAAAACTAAATGAATGTTGTATAGAATGAAAATTTAGGTAATCATATTTCTAATAATAAAATTGATTAAAATGTATTCTATGATAAATATTCTTGTTCTCTTAACATTATTTTATGTTGATTATACATTAAGTAAAAAATTATTTAATATACATAAATATGGAAAAGGTAATCATTTCTTTTTATTTCACATTTTTGATAAATTATTTACAATATCATTTCGAAATTTGAATATAAAAAAAGAAAATAAATCTATTAAAGGTGCTTGGGCTCATTCAACAGAAATAAAAATTCATTGTTTTTCTGGTGATTCTTTAATTCGATTAGCGAATGGTGAAAATAAAAAAATTTCTTATCTGAAATCAGGTGATGAAATTCTTACAATTGATCAATCAAAAATTGTTTCAACTGAAATGATTATGATGTTAGATAAACAAATATCAAAAGAAGGTTCTCTTTTTTTCATTTATTTTTTTAAATTAAATATAACTTTACTAACGTATACTTATCATTTTTTATTTTAGTTTTATTTTATGAATTCATAACAAAATCTGGTCATGAAATAAGTTTAACTGAATATCATTTAATTCCCATTTTTAATTCAAATCAAAACCAAATTTATTTATTTGCTAAACAAATTCAAATAGGAGATTTTTTATATGTTTTATTAAATGATCAACTTAAATATTCTCCAGTTATTAATATAACAGTTGAGATAAGAAAAGGTTATTATGCTCCGTTAACAAGTAAAGGAACATTATTAGTCAATGATGTCTTAGCAAGTTGTTTTGCATATGTAAAAAATCATCATTCGGCACAATTTTATATGTTTCCTTTCCGTTTTTATTACAAATTAGCACGATTTTTCAATTTCACTGATCCATTTAATAATCCTAATTCTGAAGGTTTACACTGGTTCATTAAAATTATGTTTAATTTTGCAAAATATTTTCGACCAGATACATTATTTTCGTAGGATGATCTTCTTTTATCTTATTGTTAAATATATTCCTTGTGTTTTCATATTTCACGTTTTTTGATTATTGAATAAAACTTTCATCTCTTGCCGTTTATTCAATAGCTAATAACGAATGTCACAGAATTTTCATACTTCTCTTCTATTATCCTTTCCATTAAAATACTATTTTTTAATCAAAACAATATTTGGAGTTCTGCAAACGATGCTATATTTTCTCTAGCGAATATACTTTCCTCCATTGTTTTTTTTTATTAAACATAACCATATCGTTAACACAAATATAGAACTTTAAATTTTTTCTTCTTGAGGGTACTTCTTCCCATCTCGTTTCCCGGGGTTTTTGAGAATGGCTCATCAAAACATTTTGAAAGCTTCCGGGCAAATAGATTTTGTAGAGTATATCAAAAGTTGTGCTAGACTCAAAATTCCCAAACACTGTCTTGTAGGAGATATTGGGGTCGCAATCAGTCAAAACGACCTAAGTGTTCGCCCCCGTCTCTCAGAGACACTATTTGGGTGGAAATCTTTGTGGGTTTCTTTAATTTTTTGTCCTTTCGATAAAAAAGTCACAATACCAGATGTATCCTAGAAAACACTGTTTTTTAACTCATGCAGTTTTTGTGTCAGCTGCTAAAACCTACCAGTGTAATATTTTTTGGAATTAAAAAAAAACCATCCAAAATAGTGATAGTGACTAGTATAGGTAAAAATTGTTTCAGCTCGATCCCTCCTACCATATCGAAGAAACAGGGGCGAAATAGTAATTGCTTCCTAAAAACTTGATTTTGAGAAAACTGTGAAGAAAAACTCACTTGGAATTTTTCTCTGAATACTCATCTACTTTTCATCCTTTAAAATATTTATCGGTTTTCGACTACTGCGTGTTCGATAGGCTTGTTTTCTGCGTTCAGAAACTACTTTTTTTATGTCTGCATCATGCAAGCAATCAGACATAAATAACATACCGACTGAAATTCATCTGCTATTTGCACTCATAGTTAACCTCTTTTTTGGAGATAAGGGAAAAAATAAATGAGAGGATAGAAGCTGTTATTAGATGTGGAATGGCTGTGGAAGGGCAAGCAACGAGATTCATTTGGATTCTTACTTTACCACCGAGAAGTTCGATCATTTATTTCGAACTGACGTCGAAATAAAATGGAACTATTTATTTAAATTTCAATAAAGTTCATCTTATAAAAAATTGTTTTACAATTAAGTAAGATTTACGAAGTATTCTCTAACGAAGTTACATGAATGTGTATAAAATTGTGCAGTAATAACAGTATGGTATCATGTTTTTAAGACGAATACTGAAGATATTAAAATGAGCTCATTATCGGAATATATAATGAAAAATAAGCGTAAATTGTATTCGCCATGGTTCCACTTTCATTCTTTAATCTTTATTCGAGGTTGGATTTTCATTTTGCACCCTCCACTGGCATGTTGAAAGCTGTCATTTATTTCATTTTATGCAAATGATAATGGCCAAGTAATATAATTCATATTCAAAATGATTCATAGAATACAACAAATGGTTCAACACGATTATTGAGTCATATTATGCTGGTCTGATTTTTATTTCATAGGACTTCATTCATAATATTTCAGCCATATATTTCAACAATCATTAATAATCGTCTTTCATACAATTCCTAAAATCATGAAATATAATCGTGAGGTTTCGTTCGATTGTTATATAGATGAACAAGGTGAGTACTAAAGCACATCAACCTACGATCCATTCCAATCGATTTTCAATGGTCTAGATTGCTAATGTTATGAGAAAGCACTCAACAATTCGAACGGTACAGCATCGCTATGCGGAAATGTCTCGCTTTGAAACCTTTTTATTTTCAAATGTATACTTCACGAAGTATAGTAGACAGAACAATCATATCACCAAAATATCACGAATAGAAGAATGATACTACGCATATGAATAATCTCAAACTAATATTTATATTACGTTAATACCTATATATGGTAAAAGAAAGAAAAAGAAAGAAATAAGCTGTAGTTTTTTCTTCAAGGATATTGTGTCACTCAATTTTGATCAGGATGAATGATCACATGTACAACATAGATAAAAAATTTAGAAATAAATGCATCGTTTTTTCTCTTTTATAATACTTTTTATATAACAATAATATTTTTTCACGAAACTGAACTTTATTCACATCTGAATATTTAGGAAGATGAAATTATTCCACGAAAGATATGGATGTTAATTAATCGAACTATTTAAATAATATAGAATCACGAAATATACGAAATATTTTTTGGAAGTAATCAATGTCAAGTATAAATCAATGAGTGCCAATGATCCAGGACATATCAGTAAAGTATTTTATATATTGGCCTTGTACTTATTGAAACAAATCTTTATTTTCATAGATAATCTTAATGAAGATCAAGAAAAAAATCTTAAATATTTTTGGATTTCTCTTATTGAGAAAATAACAAATGAATCTAATGTAACATTAGAGAAGTTTCTTGATTCAAAACAAGGAAAAGAATTATTCTACTCGTTTTCTCTCGATAATCCAGATGTTGTTTTACTACGATTTCTTCGAGCAAGAAAGTGGAATATTGATCTTGCTTTAGAACAGCTGATTGAAACATTAGAATGGAGAACCAAATCAAATCTTGAACAATTGATTGCTAATGGAGAATCACAGCTTCATTACGGAGAAATATTAACCGGTAAAGCATTTTATGTCGGTTATGATAAAGTCGGTCGGCCAATAAATTATGTATCTACCAAAGATCATATTAAAGGTCAATTTCCACCAGAAGCAACAGAAAAATATACTATACTTGCTATGGAAGTAGGTAGAAAATTGTTACATAGCCCTGTCGAATCTGTAACAATTATTCTTGATATGAGTGGCTTTTCTATGAGAAATATGGATTATCAACATGCGCAATTTCTTGTTAATCTTTTACAGAATTATTATCCAGAATCATTAGGTATTGCATTAATTGTAAATGCTCCCAAATTATTTTATGGTTGCTGGCATATCATTAAATCATGGTTAGATCCAGTCGTCAGGAATAAAATTCATTTTCTTAATAATCTTGATGATTTAACTGAATATATTGATTTATCAAATTTACCAAAACGATTAAATGGTAATCAACAAGATTTCAATTATATACCACCAACAGAACAAGAGAAAAGAATGTTTTCTGCATTTCGTAATGATTTTCATGGAATTAAAAAAGCAAAAGAAAATTATCAGCGAGCTTCAATCAACTATCTTCATATAACATATGAATGGGCTCAGAGTAAAAAGGATCAAAATATTTTAGAACAAAGAAAACAGGCGACTGAACAATTGCGAGATGCATATGAACAATTTATGCCATATATAAGTTCGAAAACACATTGTCATAGAAATGGATTCATTAGTGAACCAATATTTGATATAACTTATCAAAAAATTCAACAAGAAAATCAACGAAAAGTTGTTCATTTCTAAATTTATTCTTGTCTACCTTTTTTGTTTTCACTAAATTCGTTTATGGTGTATAAATTTTCCTTTCAAACGCATTTAAAAGATTTAATAATCATTAGACGTACGAACTTGTTCAACAGTCATATCAGTCGTCCCGACCATTTGGAAACGGATTCAAAACGCTGTATTTGTTATAATTTATTTTAACCCTTTCAATCCCGCATGTCATCTCGTAGATGACATGAAGAACACGAAACAATTCTTTTCGTTCTGTCGTCTTCTTCGCCGACGTATATCATATGTTGTATTCTAAGAAAAAGACGAAGGGTCTAAATGACACCAAAATGGCTTTACACTGTAATTTTTTTTAAATTCTATTTTGTAGAAAATTAACTTTAGTAACTAAAATATTCAAAATGTTATCATTCATTCATCGAATTTCGATTATTTAGACAATGCTTGATTTTCTCCATAATTGAAATTCAATTTGATTTCATGCATTAAATTGAATCTTGAATACCAGGATTTTATTTTCAAAAAAGTAGAATTTTATCACTGAATTCGTATTGGCATTACTAGAATAGCGTTTGCAAATTCATATACCCAGGTCGAACCGACACGGTCGTAAACGACCGTATACGGAGACAAAAGACGATCGTTTACGATTCCTATACATTGAGCCCGTATACGATCTCCGTATACGACACGGTGATATACGATCGTAATACTGAGCCATGTATTACGGTCAAATACGATCGTATACGCGAACAAACGGAGCTCTTACGACCGTTTACGATCGTATATGAGCTCCGTAAACCTCGAGCTGAGTAGGCATTCTATATTTGACAGTGTATATGTACATTGACTTCAATATATATAGAGTCAAATACAGTTGATCGTGACGACAGAACGCAAAAGAGAGGGATTGAACTTCTTTTTTTCTTCTTCATACAGAACGCAAGAAAATTACGGGATTGAAAGGGTTAAACGTATTTTGCTAAAATCTATCATACCATTCAATAAGTCGTTTTTTCCACTTGAAATGGTTATTGCTTTTTCCTTTCATAATCTAGTATGATGGATTATAGGATGCGCTGTTTTCTGGAACTTGGAGTATTTTATACAATCAAATAATTAGAGAAGATAGGCTAGGAATAATATCGTAATTCATTCTTGATATTGTGCGACTAGTCTTTTTTGGATGTAGTGAGGAATTTGAGTTTGATTCCATCACAAATTCTTCTTCCCAACCACATGGGTATACTAGCATTAGAGTGACTCGTTCACACCTAAATTGAATTTGCTGTGTGTTCGAATGTTTCAGTATATGCATCTTGAAGTACTCGACTTAAGGATGTCCGATTACATTAAATGATCCAAGAAACTATCGATAAACGAATAATGTTAAATTATGCATAGAAATATTGTCAAAAGTACCGAACCATATCCAAGAAAAGAAATAATCAAAGGTTCAAGAAGATTGAAAGTATCTTATGGGCAGTATCTAAATTTTAACAACGATTGATTATGATGAAAACAAGACAGGCGGATCAACCAGGAAGATCTTCGAAGAAAATCCCCAATTAATAGAAGATCGCTTTCTGATTATTCTTCACGTCGATCTATGTACAGACGAAGAAGAGCAAAAGAAAAAGAGTAAACAAGTTGAAATTGTGAAAACTCCTGTCATTTTTCTTTCATCTATCACCAAGAAACAACCAGAGTCAATTATAGTAGTCTCCTTTTAAAAAACATGAATTACTCATAATGTATTAATAGACCTTAGGACATTAATCACTCCATTAAAGTATTATAAGAACAAAATTATTTTGTTATCTACTCTTAACAAGAAGCAGAAAACGAATTATTTCCTCTTCGCTCTCCTTCATTGGTATCGCAGATACTTTCATCACTCAAATGATCAAACAGAAGTTTATTTCTTATTCTCATGTAGCCGTTGTCGAAACAGCAACATTTTCAATTTAATGTGATGCTAGGTGTCTGCCAAATATTATGAATAATGAAGGTCACTCCTTAGATATCTCCTCGAATTTTTTCACCCGTCCGGAAAATGGATCTGACATTCTTTTATTGGAGAAATTCGTTCTAATTAATTCTTGTTTTTGTCTTCTCACCTACAGTAGTGTCAAACTTGAAACTTGAATTCAGTTGAAAATAGAAAATTTCAATTTTCGATTGAATTTAAGTTTCAAATTTGACATATATGAAATTTTCAAAAGTAGGGAGTATTCCCTCACGCAACCCGTTTAGAAAATAACAATTATAATCATTTCGATAAATATTTTGGAGAAAATAAATACCTTAAACGGACATGTATTTTATATTTTAATGATACTATTTTATTTAGAAGATTTACATTAGTCTCTTTGATTCTTTAATGGATTTTTTGACATGATATGCGTAGTTATAATTCGAATTTATATGGTGAACCACAGCTGTATAATATCAATTCAAAAATACCTGGGGAAAATTAGAAATAGATTTAGTCTTAATTTACGATGAATACAATTCATATTTACGAAGCGGTGGAGCTTAGAGCACATTGAGGAGAAAGTCTCTCTCATAGGCAGAAGCGAACAAACCTTAGAGAACGACGATGCAAAAAGAAGAAAATTTTCCTACAAAAAACCCATCTTTATCAACATATTTCCAATAAGTTGACTTGCACAAAAGAGATCAAGTAAATTTTTTTAATAAAAAGAATGTTTTATTCTGTATAATTATAAAGCGTAAGTTGCTTTTCAGTATTACCCGAAGGCTTGTGAAAAACTATGCAATCTATCATATTCATAATTTACTCAGAAATAACTTAAGATGTATAAATATACAAAATACAACGATATTTTATTAAGAAAATTACTGATTCAATTTATTGCGTAGGCTCAAGTACACTTATTTCTGAAAATCATAAGACCACAAATAATTCACCTTAATGCTGTCGGTGATTTTTTTTCATCGTTTCGTGGAAATAAATAAAAACTGATGACAAATTTCAGCTAAAAGATAGTGAACCAATTAGTGGCAGTGAGTTCAATATACAAGTATATGAATAAGAATAATTACGCTTTATAGTTGTAGCAAAGTCCTCAAATAAAGCTTAAAGTTGCCCCTTATATAAAAAGAAAACTTATACACCAGTTCAAAATAATTACAGAGAAATTTTCGCAATAAAATTAATTAGCAGTTGTTTAATATCGTGTTGTTATATTGGCACCTAATATCGATACGTCATTTTATATTTATATGAATAGGAAGTATATAAATACAGTATATGATTTAAATCGTTGAAGCGTGTAACATCATATCAACGATTAAAAACGGAGAAGAAAAAAAGAAACGAAAAGAAAAAAAGCTATTGATTGACTCTATTGAAAAAATATTATTTCTAAACGTTGTTTATTGATAATGGAGGCTAATACAACGAATAATATTAAAATAATTCGAGTAGCTGGTGTACCTGAACATTTTAATGAGCCATGGAAAATAGGTTTAGAAGAAAATCTATTTAAAAATGAAGGTATTCATATTGAATGGTATTCAATAAAAGAAGGTACTGGTGCTATGATCAATAAATTAAAATCAAATGAAGTTGATGTTATTGTTGCATTAACTGAAGGTTTAATTAATGATATTGCAAATGGTTCTGATATACGTCTTATTGGAACATATGTTGAATCACCATTAATATGGTCTGTTAGTACAGGAATTAATTCAATTTATACTTCTGTTGAAGATTTGAAAGGTGAAAAATTTGGCATTAGTCGATATCAAAGTGGTTCACATTTAATGAGTTGTGTTCTTGCAAATCAATATGGTTGGAAACAGTCAGAAATTGAATTTATTATTAATAATAATTTTGAAAACTTAAGAAAATCAACTAATGATAATACGACAGCAGCTTTTCTTTGGGAATATTTTATGCAAAAACCATATTACGATAAAGGAGAAATTCGTCGAATCGGACAAATTATAACACCATGGCCTTGTTTTATGATTGCATCAACAATATGTTTTATTGATCAACATTTAGAAGATTTAACTAAAATGTTCAAAGCTTTAGAAAAATCTTGTTTATTATTTCGAACAAATTCAATAGATTCAATAAAACGTATATCGAATAATTTTGGTTTAACTGAAGAAGATGCAAAAGCTTGGTTTGATAAAGTTCAAATTAATCCAAGCAATACAATATCTGAATCAACGATTGAAACAACAATTGATGCACTTACAACAGCTAATGTATTAAATAATTTAAATAAAAAATATTCTCCAATCGATTTTATTGATAGAAAATTTTCAAAACTAATTGTTGATATTAAATCAATGCGTCTTTATAATAAGCCTGAACTGTTAATTATATTAAGAAATAATTTACGTGTTGCTGGTTTATCCAAAGGTTCAATATCTTACACTGATTTACTTCCATATGATCAAAATCATTATTATGGTACACAAGTTTTAGATTTAGCTGTTCAAGAACTTGAACTCAATAATGAAAATAATAATAATAATTCCAATTGGATTATTCAAATAGGATCAAATTTAGCTGGCTGTGCTCGATATTTAGCTGGAAAATATAATTTAAAAGTTTTAGCTATTGAATTACAAAATGATCTTTCTCAAACAGCAACTGAGTTAACTGAACGATGTCATTTAAATGATTTAATTCATCATATAAACGGAAATTTTTTAAATGTTGCTCAACATTTACAAGAAAATTTTTATTATGCTATTGTTAGTTGGATAACACTTCTTCATTTTAATAGAAATGAAAGAATTCATTTAATCAATCAATCTTATCGTTTACTTAAACAAAATGGATACTTTTATTGTGAGGACTTTATTCGTATTGGAACTATTAATTTTGAAGAATCACAAATTTTAGAACATGATGTTTATTGCAAATATTTACCAACAATTGATGAATATAAATCAGTATTAATTGAAGGAAAGTTTCAAATAATTAAAATAATTGATTTAACTGATGATTGGAAAATATTTACTAATGAAAGATTAGAGCAATTTCACAAAAATAAAGAAAAACTACTAAAAATTCATGGAGAAGATATTTATAATCGCTTAGAATATTTTTATGCGTCTATTGCAAAACTTTTTCAAGGAAATAATGTTGGTGGTATAAGAATTATTGCAAAGAAAACAATTTAAAAAAACGTTTACTCTGTTTTTCTTTATTTTATTCAAATATAAATATAAAATTATTCCATTTTCTTATTATCTAATAAATATTCTACAAAAAAAAAACAATTTTATTTTTAAATAAAAATGTTAATAAATATAAATAATTAAAGAAATCGTTTTTTTTCTTTGAATGAGTCTATTCTTAGCATCTATCATACTATTTCTTTATATTCCTTGAAACTATGAGGAACTACTGGAACTCATTTTTTCGATTTTATATTTTTTGCAAGATTTATTTATTTATTGAAGACTTACTGAAAATTATTAATCATGATGATATTTCAGCATATCAGCACAAGTTCTCTTCCCAATATCATATGACTTGTTTGTCAATGTTGATTCATTTAATAATAATATGGTCATTCTGTTCGATGAATTGCCTGGCCTAATATTGATCAAGATATTTTCTTATCTATCTTGTATCGATGCTTTATGATCTTTCACTAATCTTCTTTTTTTTTTCATTCAGTTTATTGTGCCATTTGATTTAGGTTCACAATTTTGTGGAACTCACATATATTTTCGAAGAAAATGGTGAGTGTAAGTTTATAAGCGAGATTTTTGCGGCTCCCCACCCCCCCCCGTTACAGACATTAATTAGTTTAAAACTGTGCTAATTAGGAGCTTGACTAATTAGGCTGCTATTTCTTTCTTTTTTAATTACAGACTACACGAAAAACGCAATGATTACCCATTACAGACCATAGTAACTAGCTTAGGGTACCATTACAGACCGTAGAAACTAGTATCAGCCATTGTTAAATATACCAGCTAATAATTAATACGCGATTGCATACATAAGCAAATAGGCAATGACCTAATTATATGTTTTGGAAATCAGGGTAGATTTTTCAGATGAACTATGTTGAATTATTTTAGTAAGCCAAAGGGATATATGTGAGTTCCACATTTTAGCCCCAAAGGGGCTGCGCTAACAAGCTTTCTTGTACAATTTATTTTACGAAATAATTAATAGGAAAAAGCTTAAAATATATTAATAAACAAGTTTAGATGAACAAAATAAACATTAAACAAAATTTATTTTTCTTTGGTTAAGTCTGATCTAAGCAAAGAATTGTGTTATCCATCATGGAATTTATTTGAATTTGTCACTCAACTTGCTAATTATTTATCTGCTCTTCATTCACTTGATTTAGGAATGGAATCATCATTTATCTTACATAAATAGCCGTATAATATAATTCAAACATCATTAATTTATTTGTCTATTGCATTAAGTACAACATATGAATTATTAAATATCATGTCAACTGAACCATTCACACATACATTACAACAATTACAAGTTAGATTTAATCATGATAGTAATCTTATCGGTAGTCTAAATTTTAAAGATGGTTTTCTTCGAATGGAAGTCTTACATACATTTAGTTTTATCAAGTCATGCAGTTGCCATTTAATTATAGAATGGATACTTGTTAATGTATTAACTTCTTTTCGTCTTATGGCAATTTTACGACCAATAAATTTCTCTCTTGTTATTGATGTTGATGATCTGAGTCAAATGAGTAATTCAGCACTGTTTACAGATTCTCGTCATATTCATATTCATTATGCTTTAATTATCAATGATGATCGATTGGATATTGCTATTATTAATAATGTACCACATGGTAGTCAATCTCATTCTCGTCAAATAGCTAGTGCAACATTTATTTCTTATTGTTGGACAGATAATCAACCATTTATAACTCCGGATGTAACATATGTAAGTTCTAATTTAATAAATATTCGGGATTATTGCAACGATAGACAATATTGATTATTTTCGTTTTCATTGAAGAAACAAAATAGTTGACAACATCTATTTTATAATTTACCATGTAATTTCAATGAATTTTTTCAATTGTCCATCCCAGATAGATGTATAAGTGAATTTGAAGTGTTTTTATCATCTTGTTCAACAATTAAAGTTCACCATACTCATCTTATTAAATTGAATATGTCAGATAATCTTCAATCTTCTATTAGTTTATTATCTGATATAATATCTTCAAATGAAATAGTTGAACTTAATTTATTTCGATGTAATAGACAAATATTTATATCTATGAATTTACCGAATATTTCTCATTTTAATCTTATCGGCAGTTTTGATTCATTGAATAGTTTCTCATTTTCAACTAATATTCGATCTATCCAAATAGTTTTTCATTGTGAATCTCTTCAATTTGCAAATGGTGATTGAACTGATCTATGTCGACTTTCATCTTTTCCATTATTAAACTCTTTACGTATACTTTTGTATGGTGTGCATAGTCCTTCAGATTCAGTAAGTTGCCAGATAATTGCAGAAATATCACCAATTTCATTTCATTTCTCTATTTGTTTTCGACGTATTTATGGTCAAAATTCTTATGACATTGATTCATCATACACACAAAACATTGTTTATTTATTGAACAATTACGAAAAGCTATTCTTGCTTTGCCATCAAGTGAAGAACCGTATGTTTTGGTCGAAGAAGACGGTTGTGAACTGATATGGTTCTGATTGATAGATAGATTTTTTCAATGTTTTCACTTATTTTATCGTCATAATAATAATTGATATAGTTTTATGTCTTACATTTACATATTGATTATTAATAAGAAAGCAATAATCAATTATATTATAATATTATTACTATTAAGAATAAAATATTTTTTATTGATTATTTGTAAATATATTCGTCGACAACCATTTAACATAATAAAAAAATGTTCAAGTGTTCAAATGAAAGAGATGAAATATAACATAAACACGAGAATATTTCACTGAAAAACAAAAATAAAGTATTCGAATTGAATAGAAATGAAATAAAATAATATTAATTGAAATATTAATTTAAAAAAGTTGATACTACGAATATTTTTAATAAAAATTCTATGCATCATATAACAAGTATTTTTTGAAAATCATTTAGTTCATTTTATCGATAGTTTAATAATATTTTATTGAAAGCTTTAAAAATATGATTAATAAAAGCGTGTCTTAAGCTTTGAAAAAAATACTTTTAATATTTATTTTCTATGATTCAATTCTTTGATCTATTAAATTAATTACAGACAATAAATTTTCTAATAATATTTCAATAGCTATTTTAAATTAAGATAATTATTTGAATGTGTCTTCTCTTCTCCTTTTCATACCTACTAGGTGCATATAGTCATGTACGAAAAATAACATTAATTTTATATTTGAAAATAACTAAATGAAGTAGTATTTAAAAAGATCCAGAACAATATAAAAAAGAGTCAATTATAATAGTATAGCAAATGTTGATTGAATTTAGTTTAATTTTAAACTTTTATTTTTATAACATATAATTTTTTTATTGAAAAACTCAATTTCATTTGCAGAATATAACTAAAATATTAATAAATATAATTTTATATGTGAACAATATTAGTATGGAGCCACCTATTTTTATATCTGTCCCTAATTTGTTTTACTTTTACGTCTACAGAGGATTTTTATCTTTCTTGAAGAAAATAATAAGATTTCTAAGAATTAGATTATCTAGCACTTACTTGTTTTTGGGTATATGGGGCGTGCGGGGTGGGTATTGCATTATATACAGCAACTGTGTGAAAAATTTCATCATGATCTGACCCTTATTTCGAAAGTTATCGTGCCTACGGACGGCCGGACGGATACACTGACCGATTCTAGAGTTTACTCACTTTTTGAGTACACGAAAACATAAAAAAAGAAAATTTTATTTCAAAAATTGACATAGAAGGAACTAACGTGCGTTAAAAGAAATATTTTTCAGAGTTGAAGAAGGCCTGACAGATATACGTTCTCGATAACGGCGCTTTTGCTGCTGTTTCAATTCCCGCTCTATCGATAAAAATATTAATTTCATCGTTAGTAGAAAATAAATCAATTTACGGTAAGTAATAAAACGATCAGCGTGAGAGGCGAAAATTTCTTTCTCCATTAACCAAACTGAAATATTTTGTTAACACGACTAAACATTAAAAATGAATATTAAATATCTGAGAAAATAAAATCATCAAATATTTGTATACAAATTCTATAAATACACCATTTTGAACGAAACAAAGATCTAAAGTATAATATATAGGCATTTCCTTTGTTACTACCATTTCTCAAGTCATTCATCAGCGACCCCTATACAAATGATAAAGAACGCTACGAACACGTTCCGAATGATCGAACGCTATCGAACGCATTCCGAATACGTTTTTGTTCGTTCGGAACGCGTTCTTCCATCGTTCGTCTCGACGTGGGAAAGATTATAAGATAGTTTTCCATGTTATTTTTCATTCGTTCTCATGAGTAAGCCAATCATTCGATTTTATTAATAGTAATAGAGTAAAAGAATTATAAAATAAAACGAAACGAATTTGTTTATGACTCAATAAGAAAAACATCTATCGAATAGAGAAGAAATATTTTATCTTCAAAAAAACTAAAAAATATTAAAAACAAAATGGTTTTCTCTTTGTTATTTATTAAATATTTGACATATTAACTCTAACAAATTGACAAGCAAATAATAGAAAATTTTTTCGAAATTGTTTATTCAAGAATGACGTATGTAAAGCAAAAAAATTATTTACTTTTCTATCATAAGAAATTTTTAATTGAAACAAAGTCAACTATTTATTTTCTGAGTTTTTCTGTTCTTAAATCATTAATTGAAAATCATTCAGAGAACAAACTAAAACTTTTTAAACAAAAATCGAAAAAGTTCATATAAATTAACCTTTTTTTTATCGTTTTTATTCTTATTAATATTTCAATATAAAACGATAAGAAAAGTTCGATACTATTCAAATAACACAATTAAAGTATATTTCGTCGCGTTTTCTTTTTTGTTTCGGCTTAAAAATTTCACTCAACATTTTTTTTTCTTTTTAGATAAATGTCATTACTTATTTTTATTCATTTAGAATGTTTTTAATAAGAAATCGAAAAACTAAAATTGATTTTTAGATTTATAAAATAATAACAATGGCTTCAAGTGTATGTTGTTAAACGATTGAACATTCATTAAAAAGAAAATTTTTTTTTCTTTTTCTTAATAGACAACAGTCAAAATTGCTGAATTCCGTCGTCTATTATCTCATGCTCATTCAGTGCTCGTATTAACCGGTGCAGGAATATCAGCTGAATCTGGTATTCCAACATTTCGTGGTGCTGGAGGACTTTGGAGACAATTTAAAGCTACAGTTAGTTTTATTACTATTCAGGAACGATAATATTTTTTATATTCAAATCTAAAAAAAAAGGATTTAGCAACTCAAACAGCTTTTGCACGCTCACCTTCTCTTGTTTGGGAATTCTATCATTATCGTCGAGAACTCGTTCGAACCAAACAACCAAATAAGGTTTTGAATTTAATTTTATTCTCAAATTAATAAATAAATTTAAAAAATAGGCTCACATTGCATTAGCAAAAGCTGAAAAACGATTCGAAAAAGAAGGGAAACGATTTAATGTTATAACACAAAATGTTGATGGTTGGTCATTTGTATTGAGAGAATATTTTTATTTCAAATAAAAAGGAAAATTTTCATTTAGGACTTCATCGAAGAGCAGGAACAAAAAACTTAATTGAAATGCATGGTGAATCTTTTTTCTTACTTTTTAATTGAATTTAAGTTTTTAATTTTGAAAAACAAAAGGAAATCTTTTTATGGTTCAATGTACTTTGTGTCAATTTATTGAAGAAAATGATTCAAGTCCAATTTGTGAATCATTAAGAAATCGAGGGTCTTTTATTTTTCTAATTATTTTTCATTTATTTAAATAAATACTTCATTTTTTTAGATCACCTGATGTAAATCCTCCTGAAATAGATGAAAAAGATCTTCCTCGTTGTACGAAATGCAAATCTCTTGTTCGTCCTCATATTGTTTGGTTTGGTGAACACATCTGGGATGATGTTTTAGAAAAAATTCAAAAAGAAATTCAATTATGTGACTTATTTATAGTTGTATGTTTTAGTTGTTTTAATTTATTTTAAATATTGAAATTCTTAAATAGATTGGAACATCATCTGTGGTTTATCCAGCAGCTGGATATGCATCGATTCTTGCTGAGAGAAATATTCCCATTGCTGAAGTTAATATTGAAACAACACCTTCAACTTCGATTGCAACGTATATTTATCTTTTTTTTTAAATTTGTTTTAAAGAATTTTATTTTTAGTTACCACTTCCATGGTCCTGCTGCCCAAATTATTCCTCAATTATTATCAGTTAATCTTAATAATGAATAAGTTAGAAATTTTATTAAATTAACATTTTTGTAATAAAACACAAAATTATTTTCTGTCGATCAATTTATTATTTATTGGTTTCATTGGTTTAGTATTAAAAGTTTTTAATGAGAACACTTTTTGTCTAATCTCTTTTCAAAAATGAATTTATTGTACTAAAAAGAATAAATTTATTCTATAGAAATATGAATTATCGATAAAGATTATTTAAGAAATCAATTGAACAAAGATTAATAATTGGCGATCAAAAAAAAAACATAGAATGTATTGTTATGATTACACTTTTAAAAAGAATATAATTTTTGGACATGCATATCTTCTTCGATCAAGGAACGAATATCTCACTCGTAGCTTTTCATTTGATATTTTCTACTTATTTTGTGTAAATAAACAAAAACCAATCTATTAAATATCTACAAGATAATTTTCCAGTTTTGAACTTTGCTGTGAATTGAATTTAACAGTGATGATTGTATAGAAGAATCGATTTATTCGTTAAAATAATATTCATTTAATCAACTGGAATCATTTATTATCCCAAAAGAGAAAATGTTTGAAATATGTTTTCATTAAATTTAAAACATTGGATTTTATCATAATACATTAAGAAAGCAATCTTTTTCTATTGGAGAATTTTAATATCGAAGCACGCTTGTGCTGTCATATGCTTTATATAACAGAAATAGTTAGATGTTAAATTATTAAGTTAGAAAATTTCTAAATGAAATCATCGTAGTTAATGGAAATAATTGTTTAAATGTTTGAATAATTAGCTAATTGAAAGAAAAAACACCGATCGGCAAGGTCAAGAATCTATTGTCTCTTTCCACTTTTAGATCTCGTTCTGCTAGAAAAATATGCTATAAAGTACTGCATAATACTAACAGCCGTTGGTAAATCTTGAAAACAATGTTTTCTTCACGAATTGTTATGGATTGATAAATATAGTTTATCTAAAGACTTTACGTTACGTATGAAACCCAGCTCGATCAAAACGGATCGGTGTAACATTACCGTAAGCGGCCGTTTTTGCATCGTATTCCGTCGTAAAACGGCCGTATTGCGGCCATACACGGATACCCTGTATCAGCCTTAAAACTTCGTAAAGTCGGCGTAATATTATCGTATTCTATAGAACATACGGCAGTACTCTGCCCCTGTTATATGGGGAAAATACGGCACGTAAAACGGGCCGTATTTATATCGTATACGAGCGTTTACTGATCGTTTTCTTCGACCGGGGAACTGGTAGATTATTTTTTTATGACCTTGTAATATTTTAATTTAAGATTGAAACAAATCACATAGTTTTATACAGTTTTCAGATTCTATACAATTTCATAAAGACGACAACAATTATTTTACTGCGTTTCGCTTGATCAAAACAGAATCTGCAAAATCCAATCGGATCTTTTGTTGCATCACACACAACATATAATTAATGAAGAAAAAATTCTTTTTCTGTAATTTTTCAATCTATATAAACATCTTTCACCCAGTTTCGTTTATTTTTCTAATAATAAAATTTACACTATATAAACAATTACAATTATTTCGATAACCTTGACAACTGTTATAACTCGATAAAGAGAGACTAATACGAGTTGGAACGATGACCATATTTTCATAGTAGCTTTTAATAAATCATCTCTTAAAACGTGAAATACATCAGATGCAGTTTGAAATACACCGCTTTGACGATTCAATGCGCCAGATAAGAAAAGACCGAATAATATGAACATGATAATGGATGATTTATGATCAAAAATCGATATAAAAAAATTCTGATATTTTTGTAAATGTCGCTTCTAAAACTACCGAAATAAGTTCAATAAGAAATGGTAGACCTTTTCAAGAACACACTTTGATGCATTCATCAAATCGATCGAACGATGTTTCATGTCTTGTTGTTGATAACCCAGGTTGATCAAAACGGACTCGTTTACGTTTTGTTTATCGACAGTAAGCGATGTCAAAGTGATATATTTACGGCAGTAAATAGGCCGTATTTGCCTGTAATACGGCACCATAAACGGCACTAGATTTTCATGGTTTACGGCTGTTTGTGCTCCGTACTCTCATGATCATACGGTCCGTATTACTGCGCCAGATATTACGGCAAACGTTTACCCGGAAAACAGTCGTAAAGTAACCGTCAACGGCCGTATACGGACCGTACTGTTCGACCTGGGAATGTTTCTTTTTCACATCGATTTACAGTA